ATTTAAATGGTTTTTTTTTATTACAATCAATCGTCTAGACTCACTTTTCAATTAATTTTTTTTTGGTTTTGCGATTATGATTAGTTGTCAAATACCAAGTACATTAGAGGAATGATCCTTGATAGAGGTTGGGTGGATTCAATTACCACTTTTTATTTAACTAAAAAATGGATCAAGATGCTCGGTTGCAACTAAAACCCTTCCAAAGATAATTTACGTATAAATTGACAATCAAATATAGTTTTTATAAAATAATTCTATTTTAAAGATGGTTATAGGAAGAAAGAAAAAACCTTTATAATATAACAAGAAAGGCAAAGAGCCGGTCACTCAGTCTAATAAGAAAGAAAAAGTTCACACATGCATAGGTAGTCCTGTCCATCCGAGCCGGCCCGGACCCGGTTTGGCCTGGCCCGAAAAATCGGGCCCGGGCCGGGCACAACCGGAGCCCGAACCGGGGCCCGGTTGCCCCGGGCTGGTCCGGATTTTTCTACTATTTTTTATTTTTTTAAAATCTCTTTAAATTTTAAAATATACATAAAAAATTACAGAAAATGCTAATAAAAAACAATAATATTATTAATAACTTGAAATGACATAAATTATAAATACAAAAAATTATAAAAATGAAAGATGATAAAAATAACTTTTTTATTAATAATTAATAAATCCTTTACAAGTATAAATTTATTTCGGAATTCATCGTATCACAATAGATGAGTACATCCCAACTAGGTTGACACCTACTCACCTATATCATTATCATTTGCAATTGCTTTCAAAATAATTCATTACAAATTTAAAGCTAAGAAATAAAAATTATAATTTGATGAATATTGTTTAATCTTTATATCTATCTGCTAGTCCCAACTCTTTAAATTTATCTTAGATTCCAGCCATCCGATCGATGCCTTGCGTTCGCTTCTCGTACCTCCACCAATCTTGTAAGCACATCACCGTTTGTACAGTATACAGATCTAAGCATGACCTGTGGTCATCGATCAAACGTCCTGCTATGCTGAAGGCGGATTCCGAAGCCACCGTCGAAACCTACACTGTTAGTAAGTCACAAACCATGGTGAAAAGTATAGGATATGAAACTGATCCATATACTCTCCACCATTGTAAAATATCTAAAGCATTTCCTTGATATTTAACTAAAGAAGCAGATAAATATTCATCTATTTTAGAAACTTCTAATGATGATCCAAGTTCAGATCCACCAGTTAGCTCAGCTACCATTGCATACCTATCAAAACTTACACTTTTACATCGGCTTGAGCTCGAGGGCGCCGAAGCTGCAGACTGTTGTGCAGTTACACCATGTCTTGCTGCATACTCATCATATAAGGTTTGAAAATAATTTCTAATAGCTAAATGATGAAAAATAGCAGTAAGGGTGGATCCATCATCTAAGTCTATAATTTGTCTATCATACAATGATTGTAACAAACTTCGAAGGCCAATATCCTTCAAACATGGATCAATAAGAACCCCCAAACCAAAAATATGAGGAATATGCCTAAAATACTTATTAAATTTGCTCTCCATTTAAAAAATTATAGCTCCAAAAGTATCATTCATACGATATTTGGCAATTTTTTTTAAATATTTAAAATTTGTAAAACAGCTAAAGTAATAGTTGGATAATAACAGCCAGATAATAACATTATAGCATCATAAAAAACTTGTAACATCTCATTTAAATTACATATAATTGTCCATTCATCTTTAGTTATTCCATAAGTGCTACCATAGCTAGAACTAGAAGCATAATAATTTATAAAATCTTTATAATTTCTTTATATTCTATTGCCACACTTAACATTGCATGGGTGAAATTCCACCTATGGTCAACATCTTTTGGAATTAGTCTGAGCTTATATTTTTTTCTTTTACAAAATTGTTTCCATCTTTTTAAGTATTTGTTCAGAAGCATTATGCATATAAGCAACTGTCCTAACCTTTTCTATTATGGGTTTAATTCCAGTAAATACACTTTGAACAATTAAATTTAAAATATGACAGATACATCTAATATGGAAAAGATCACTATGACATGGAAATGGCAATGACATAGTTATTTTGATAAAATCAACAGCTACATTGTTATTACTTGTATTATCTTAGTAAAAAAGAAAATATTCTTTGATCAATTTTTAGTTTCATAAGTTCTTCAATTATTAAATTTGTAATATTAATACCGGTATGTGTCTCTTCAATTGCAATAAAGGAAATAACTCTTTTAAACATTTGCTAATTTTTATCAATCCAGTGTGCTGTGATACATAAATAACCAGTTTGTGCTCTAGATGTCCAAATATCAGAAGTTAAAGAAAATCTACAGTTTAAATTTTTAAAATAAGAAATTATTTTCCCTTGTTTTTCCTGATAATATTTTAAAATATCACGTTGACAGGTTTGACGAGAAAATTTTGTAAATGCGGGATAAAAACCATCTCTAAACATATCTTCAAATTCATCTTCTACTAATTTAAAAGGAATGTTTTTAAGAATGATAAACCTGATGACGCATTTTCTAGCTCGGGCAGCGTCATAATTCCAACTACCGAGACTACCAGAAGAGGAGGATTGGGAAATCATACATTGTCGGATATCACCTTGAGGATTCTGGCCTTTGTTGTGTTTTTCTATATGACGTTTGAGGTGGTTGGTGCCACTCTTATGATGAGCTTGGAAAGTCTTGCCGCACAACGCACATTTAGCCTTCTGGGTGAGGATCCTACCGTGTTCATCCTTGGTGACGTCTATCTTCTCGAAAAAATTCTACACATCGGATCTCGGTCTTTTAGGAGCTCTTGGTGTAGAATCGTCACCACCGAATTCAGGATTAACACCGGTAGGATCGATATGAGTAGCTGTTGTAGAAAGACTCATTTCAAGATCGGTAGGAGATAGGTTTTGCTCTTCATAATCAGATTCGGAAGCCATTTGATGGAATGATTAGAAAGTATAAGAGATTATTAGAGAGTATAAGAGAGTATAAGATTGAATAATAGAGTATTAGAGAGAAGTATATGAGTTTTGGTGTGAAGAGAAGAAGTGAAACCCCCCCTCTATTTATAGAGGCAGCTTCCTAGGTAAATGACCAAAAAACCCTCACCATATGACCATTTTGACTGTTTTTGGGGACAAAACGGTCAAAAATCAAATCTGGTCGTTATGGCTGAGCCAGTCCGACCCGGCCATAACAGTCACTTGGTGAACGTTGACGCCGGGCCGGGCAGGGTTGACCCGGCCCGACCTGGTTTTTGCTCGCAACGATGACCTTCGGTGAGCGTTGCTGCCGGGTCGGGCTTCGGATCCGGGCCGCCCGACCCGAATTTGTTGCCCGGCCAGTCCTATTCCGGGCCGGGCCCAGGCCCGGGCGTCGGCGAACCGGCTTGTACTCGGGTGTAGGTAATAAAAATTAGCTTTAATCCCTATCAGAGAAGTTCAGAACAAGACTACTAAAACCTCGCCCGAAATAGCAAAAAAGGAAAAATACTGATATCTCTCAAACCGGAAGGAATTTGGCGAAACGAACGGAGGCAAATCGAACCCTTTGGGTCGGTTTGGTCAGCTCCGTCTCGTCGATAGGTGATTTTCATATATAATTCGTCAAATTCTGACTTGCTATTTGAAAATTATGGCATGTTCTTCATAGCATGTTCTAGAGCTCGCCTGCAAAGGAGTTTAGCTCGCCTGAATGAGGCTGGCTCGCTTGCACAGCCTCGCATGCCAAGCTCGCCTGACAGTTAGAAGCTCGCCTGCATGCTTGAAGCTCACATGCATGCTTGAAGTTCGCCTGCATAAGACAAGCTCGCCCGACGGCTGGAAGCTCGCCTGCACAAGGATAGCTCGCCCGACAGCTGGAAGCTCGCCTATATGATCCAAGCTCGCCTACACGCTTGAAGCTGACCCGTTTGCTTGAAGCTCGCCTGTACAAGGCAAGCTCTCCCGACAGCTGCAAGCTCGCCTGTTGTAGAATCTCCAACTCGCCTGAAGGCTGGTCAAGGTCGTCAGCCGTCCACTTGAGGTATGGGAGCGGTCACATCAGTGGTCACATCCCATGTTTCAAAGAAGAGAGTATGGTACTCCTTATCCCATCAGTGCTCACGTCCCATAAATTAAGGTTTGTCTCATCAGTGGTCACATCCCACAAGTTAAGAGGGAGAGCATCGTACTCCTTACCCAGGCGTGGTCATATCCCACAAATCAAGAGATTGGCCATGACTCTCCTTTTCTATAAATAACGACACTTGGCTACATGAAAAGAGGTCTTTGGTCTTCTTGAGGACTTGGACCTTTTGAGGGGCTGGCTTGGTCTTGGTCTTCTTTAGAACTTGACATTTTAAGTGGCAGGCTGGATCTTCTTTGGGATAGCCCATTCGACATTTTTAAAAGCTCAATCTGAACTCTCAGATTTGAAGACTCTTGGCTCATTGACTCAACAAACTCTTGCATTGTAGCCTTCTCGGTGCATTCTGCATTGATACTCATCAAGCTCGGGCATTCGAACTCCAACCGTAACTTCGATCGGATCGTCCAAAGGAAGCAAACTCGGCACGAACTCCGAGGGAGGCGTCCCACCGCTGCCGAAGAACCCACGTTAAATATGAAGGGCCATTCCCTTCTCTGTTGTAAAACGTTGATTGTAGAAGCCATTCTTATAAACACAAACGACCTCTCGAACGGGAAGTCAATTTTTTACACCCAACACCGGGCTCGGAACCCAACTTGGCCCGGGTTCCCGGGCCGAGCCGGGTTCTGGCCCATCCAGACTCGAGCCGACGGGCTTTGTGGACAAGCCTATGCATAGGCACATGCCAAGCACTTGTGAGTGTTACAGTTAGATATCTTTTTGAACGAAGCTTTTGTAATCCAATCTAAAAACCTCGGAGCTTCACGTACCAGTCCCTGATTTTCAGTAAAGCCAGGTCTCATTGGCAACTCATCTCACCAGGAGAAAAACATAAGCAGGCATGAGACCAGGCAAATGATGCGCTCAAAAACTAGATTACAAGTGATTCCCAGTATCTCCACAATCCATTCGCCCACAAAAACAAAAAACACCAAAACAAAACTAACATCTAGTCGCATACAGACCTCACAAGCTTTCATATAGAAGAAAGATCTTCATACACAGACCTAATCCCTGGCCTCTCAGAAACAGGCCTGATACATCTCAAAGCAATGCCCAACATCTCCTTCATCCCCTTCCCCCCTGGCCTCTCAGAAACAGGCCTGATACATCTCAAAGCAATGCCCAACATCTCCTTCATCCCCTTCCCCACCGCCGGATTCCCAGCAATCTCACCACCCAATTCACCATCAAAACAATCCGATCCTCCCTTTGGCCACTCTCAACCTCACCCAATCGCAAAGATCAACCCCACCTTCGTCCCCAGAAATCACATCGCCCGCACATTTCCCTGTTAGGAGCTCGAGCATCACAACCCCAAACGCGTATGCATCAGATTTGAAGGAAGGAGATGTTTTTTCGAGGAAGTTAGTTCAGGGGCTCAGTAACCGAGGACTCCAGAGCCAAGGATTTGCTCGGTGGTGCCAGACTGGGTCATGAGTAGGTGGAGGCAGTAGTCAGAGACGCGGGCATTGAGGTCGAGGCCGTCGAGGAGGATGTTAGTGGACTTGAGGTTCCCGTGGGGAACTGCACAGTCAAAGTGGAGGTAGTTAAGGCCGCGGGCAACATCGACGGCGATTTTGAGTCGCTGGGCCCAGGTTAGAGGTGGGCCTCTTCGTCCAGGTCGATCTGATGAATAAATGGATTAAAACGGGTATCTCAATGAAGGTGTCCTAAAAATTCACATGGAAATATGACAAAATATAACTAAAAGCATCAACATATTGGTTCCTTCCTTCTAGATATTGATTCCAACATGAAAAGCACAGTACATGCATCAAGGAGACGCTGATCAAGAAAACATAAAGACAATAAGGAGCCAACTTTTAACAAAAGAGACTAAGATAATCTCCTATTCACAGTTTTCCTCCCTCCCTCTCCCTGTATATATTTGTTTGTTTGCATATATATGTATGTATGCGCATGCTTGTGTTTTAAACAAAAACCATCTTTTTCCAAAGTAGATAATAAACGTAACTGAAACAAAAGGAATAAGCCCAACTATGTATGAATCGATAATACATGTTAACAATAACTAAAATCCATTAACTCCATGTATCGACCTTTTATTTTATTAAAAAAAAACTCCATGGTATCAAGACTGGGGCATCCAACCCAACTCATGTCCGAGGTAGAAATACAAATTGAGAGCAATTTTCTTGCATACTTATGTGGGCTGAGGCTCTGTCCATCAATTTTTTATTCCTAGGATTTGCTTTGAGGCACATTGATGTGTGATTGGGAAAAGATAGTCCTGACATGTATCACACATTAGCCCGCATCTCAAAGGAAATCCTAGGGATAGAAAAGTTGATGGACAAAGCCCACAGTCCACTTAAGTTTATAAGAGCTTTTCACTACAAATTAAATCTATTTTTACTCTGAAAATTCCAGTCCTCTTATGTTTCTTTTAAGGGACAATCTGAATTAGATGCGTTCCAGGGTCAATCATTCATCAAAGGATAAACAGTGGAGTCAATAATATACATGCACAACTCAAAGCTGATATTAAGCAATAAAAAGAAAATTCTAAAAAAGCACAAGCAAGAGCTATGAGCACATACCGTACAGAAAGTTCGCCAAACTTCCAGGAGAAATATAATCCGACAAAATAAGCTTTTCATTCTGCGTCGGGCCCCAATAATATCCTCTCAACCCCACAACATTTGGATGTCTAATATTCGCAAACTTCTTGGCCTCCTTCGCAAATTCCTTCTTCGGCTTTGCCACTCCTTCTCTTAGCCACTTCACAGTAGGAAAACCCCATTATCCAAAGAAGCTAGATATGATGTCCCATGACTACTACTCCCTAAAACCTCAGCTGGTGCCCTAGATAACTCCTCTGGAGTCAAAGTAATCGTCTCATCCAAGAAATATAATTCCCGCTAAACTGTCTGGAGATCTAACATCTAATTTAGCTAGGTTTTCTTGTGGATAAGCCTCACCAGAGTCAGGTGACCATGAGAAATGACTAGTCTTTGATGGTGAAGAGCCAGTTACTGATGGCATTTTCTCTTTCGAGCCGATTGCTTCAGAGGTGGGTCCTTTTCGGGGAGCGGGTAATAAGTCTTGCGCTGATACCACTAATGGCCTGCTAGGCTCTAGAGCTTTTCTTTCTAAGTTCTTGTCTGTCACTCTCTCTGGATGAGATCTTGAGATTTTCTTGTAGTGAACAAAAATCGCCAAGAGGATTAGTATCACAAATGCAACGATGCATATTGCTATGATTGCTATCTTGATTGAAGTTTTCAAATGCTTGTGACCTCGTCTTTCAGATGGAGAAGTGCCATTATTGGGATGACCGGCTGGAGACTCTAACCTTGGCTTGTGACCTCGTCTTTCAGATGGAGAAGTGCCATTATTGGGATGACCGGCTGGAGACTCTAACCTTGCATTTCCCGGGTGGAAAGAGGAATCGGGAAATTTCTGCAGATTGGCTAGAATTGGTCCAGATAAATCATTGTAAGATGCATTGAAAGCCATTAAAGTGTCCAGTAAATTTGAGGGTAAAGGGCCAGTAAACTGGTTGAGAGATATATCAAGGGAATTAAGGTAGGTAAGATTTGTAATAGATGGTGGCAATGGGCCCGAGAAATTATTTGCAGAAATGTCAAGCACTTGGAGACGGGATAAAGAGGTTAGATCTTCAGGAAAAGTTCCATTGAAGCGGTTGCTTGATAGATTTAGAGCTTGAAGGTTCGATTTGTTAGATAACGAGGGAGAGAACACAATTTCACCAAAAAGCTGATTGTTGCCAAGATTAAGTTCTTGCAATGTGGAGGATGTTAGCAAATCTGTAAGTATATGACCATCATATTTATTTGAACTAAGATCGAGAATGGTTAATTTAGGATACTGAATGAGAACTTTTGGAAGAGTTCTTGATAAAGAATTGTGAGAGAGATTGAGATAATTAAGGCGCATAAATTGTGAGGTTACTTCTGGAATTGGTCCTGTCAACTGATTTTGACTAAGGTCGATGAATTCCAGGTCATTTCCCCATTTTGATGTCACAGAAATATTTCCGGAGGAACAATTTTTCACTTCAGCCCCATTCCAATTTTTTATTATTGAAATCGACCCTTTTTTTTTTATTTACCAAAACCGACACAATTTTGTGATTAGCAACTTAATCACCTTCCTAATTAGTCGGGGTTGCCAACCCCGACTAATTAGGAAGGTGATTAAGCTGCTAATCAAGAAATCGGGTCGGTTTTGGTAAATAAAAAAAAAGGGTCGATTTCAATAATAAAAAATTAAATGGGGCTGAAGTGAAAAATTGTTCATTTCCGGAGAGCTGGTTTTTTGAGAGGTCCAATATTCTGCAGCTCCCTATGAGCAGTGGAAGATCACCAGAGAGTGTTTGAAAGATATTAAGGACTTGTAGCGTTGTTGATGTGATCCAACCTATATTTCCTGTGATGTGAAGAATAATATGTTGGCAAGCGCATGTAAATGCAAATGCAAATGCAAATAATTCAACAACAAAAATAAAATAGAATATGGAAATTTTGCCAACTTGCAGACGAAAATAGAATATAATCATTTTCTTTTTGCAGTTTCTATATGGAAAGTTTTGTTGCCTATCATGATCAGAAGAAAATTGTCATTTTCTACCTAGTCATCCATATCTCATAACGGACTAGGTTATTTTGATGTTTCATAATCTCCATTTTATAGAACTGAATGGCTGTGTTTCCTTTGATTATCAACATACCAGCAATATGTATGTATTTTTATCGAAGTCGATTTAGGTAATACGCCAACTGTACAAAATGTGTTGACCTCTAGAACCAGCCATGCTGTATTAATAAGAGAACATTACAATACTCTGGGTGGTCATTTAGACTACCTATACGAACTGTAAGAAAGCATAAAATGAATGTAGAATTTTGCACCAAGAAGTAGGTAGAGAATTCTCAACTAACTTCATCATGTGTAATTCGTTGTACAGATCACATGTCTGATAGATTGCTAGAACTAAATTTCAATTCACATAATACTTCATAATTACTATTTAGTTCATAGGCTTTCCTAAAATTTTACGAGTACGTGATGGAAGAAAGCATGTGATGGATGTAAGAAATATTTACAACTGAAAGATCACTCACCTGAGAGATTGTTAGCACTCAAATCCAACTCGCTGAGAACCAAAGAATCCCCTTTCAATAGCCCATTTGGCAAAAACCCATCAAAACCATTGTTTCCAAGTCTTAAAACCTCAAGATCATACACATAATCAAACCCTGGAAGTGGCCCAGACAGCTGATTGTAGCTCAAATCCAACACCTTCAAACTCCCAAATGTAGACATTTCTCCTCCATCAATCAACGAGCCAGTCAACTGATTGTTACTAAGATTCAAATACTTCACTGTCTCTGAAACTTCAGCCAAAAACTTCATCTCTTCCACATTGGAAGACCTCAACAAATTCCCACTCAAATCAACATGAACAATATTTGACTCCATTAACAAACTCCAAGGAACACCCCCATCCAATTGATTCCAACTCAAATCAAGAAACTCGAGGCTCAGTATATCAGCAAACACAGCTGGTATTCCCTTCGAGAATGTGTTGAAAGACAAATCCAAATAAACCAATCTCTTCAGACTCTTCAACCCTGAAGGCAACGATCCTGACAAAGAGTTCTTACTCAGATCAAGAGATTGAATCGAGATAAGCCCACCAATCGAGTCGGGTATCGACCCAGAGAAATTATTCCCCGAAAGCGACAGATTCTGAAGGCTCTTAAGATTCCCAAAACTATCAGGAACCTTTCCAAACAACAAATTGTTAGAAACATCAAGAAACTTCAAGCTCTGAAACCCGCCAATATCATCAGGCGACAATACATCCCAGTGAAATTATTGTTCTTCATCGAGATCTTAAACAGCAATGTGAGGTTAGAGAATACCGAGAGATCAGCGGTACCGCTGATCCCATGGTTATCGAGAACGATAGCAGCGACATTGCCACCATTGCACAGGATGCCATTCCATGACGAAGGGCAGCAGTTGAAATTGATGGATTCTTCGTTCCAAGAATCGGTGATGTAGCCAGTTGGGTCATTGGTTACGCCCTTCTTGAAGGCTAGAAGAGCTAAGATATCAGACGAAGGGTGCTGAGATTGAGCTGGGATTAGAAAGAAGAAGATAAAGCAGACTATTTTGAAGATGTTCATCTCTAAATACTTGAAGAAAGAGCTAAAGAAAGAAAGGGGAGAACTTTTAGATAAATTTGTAAGATTCTAACAATATAAGCAGCTTCATCCCTTCTCTTCAATAAATGAGCTTGGGAAGTCCCAGCGTTCTCTTCAGAAGAACAGGTTAAAGGGGAAGAAAGAAAAATCAAACTTTGGGTTTAAAGAGCTAATGATGAGAGCTTTTTTTTCCACCAAGGTTCCATCTTTAGAGCTAAAGATGGCGGCTTTTACAGTAAAAGCTAAAATCCACTTCCAAAAGGAGAGATTTTTACTCACAATGTGCGATTTTGAGAAGAAAACTCTAAAGATTTTTGACAAGGGGCCACTAAAAGGGGCAACTACTCCATCGCCAACAATCAAGAGGTTTTCAATGGAGTAGGGTCCGCCAAAACCCCCCGCCAAAATGATAAAGATGAAGAAGGAGATGAAAAAACCCTAATTTTTTAAAGGAAAAAAAGAGAAACCCTAATTTTGAGCTTAAAGTGGAGCATAGCGTGGGGAAAAGTGCAGCCTGTTTGTCCTTTTTTTCTTGATTTTATGATGTTTTCAGTTTTTTTGTTTACCCGCCAAAAAACATTTTCTCCTTGCGAACGCCAAATTCTTTATATTATAGTTCACGAACTGTTACCCACAAATAACTATTACACCTGCTACTTAAATATAGGCTAAATGACACTTAAATGCCTTAAAGCGTACGCTAGCTCTCGCCGGATAGGGCATCTGTTTGACAACTCGGTCTTACGGGTTGCCAACATATCTGTTGTGCCTCCTTCCGCCAAGAACCAAGAGATGTCTTCGGCCATGATCCTAAGGACAATAGAAGCGGTGCTGGTGAGCTTGTATTTGCTCACCATTTGGAAGAGGAAATGAGGCTCGGTCTGGTTCACTTTGACACTCACCAGGCGGCTCAGGACTCTCAAAGACGGCTTTATCGCCATCCAATGGGGTTCGGCTTCATCTGCGTCGGCGACACCCCCGAACCCGTGAAAACTTGCTGAAGGAAAGGATACAAGGGCAATCGTAGGCCGAACTCTAAATGCCTCAAGTACAGCGGAACCCGATCTAGTCCATGGTCATAAACGACCTCTGACCTTGTCGGTGCCATCAGTTCATACTCTAAGGGAATATCAAATCTCCCATGGAGCGTCCTCATCTGCGTTTGGGTCACTTTGGAGTGCAACTCTGCCAACAGAGCCTGTTTATCTACGGGATCAGAGACAATTGTAGATGGGTGAGTAATCGCCGGAGAAGACGGAAAGAAAAGATCTCGAGCTCTCAAAAGGAATTTCAAAGATCAATAATCGCCTTTCTTCTAGCCCTAGCCTTATATATAGACAGCAAAATCCACAGCTGTCGGAATCTGGACGGCCGGATCAGAATTTAGCCAATGATCAAGATTAATCCTCGAAATCCAAAGCGTCATCTCCGGGATCAAGCCGTAGCCCACCAACCTTGAACAACCCGTAATCCGGCACAAAAAACGAGGCTGCGGTAATCAAAAAGAATTTGTGGTGACGTCGATCACGATAAATCCGAAAAGACTTTTCTGTTCCCCCGGTTAATGCAAGTCTGCATCCATCCAAAGTTATTCTCATTTCACTCGGTCCCGGCCCGCGCCGACTCCAAGTGAAACGGGCCAGCTGTTATGGTGTTTTCAGTCGCCAAATTATGGCCCCTTGCCAACAACAGGTGAATATCCCCCGTCACGCACCATTCAGTCAACTCGACACTTAAAACAACCAGAGTCGACCTAGCCAACTCACCGAATCGACATCTCATTAGGTCAACTCAAATGGCGATACTTGTCAGTCCCCTCATCAAAGGCAACTCACTACGAATCTACTCAACTGGTTAATTAGCTGGCGTCTCGCTGAGTCGACTCGAAAGACGTTACTTCTCAGTGCCCCTTGATACCAGTCAAAAGGCAACTTCTACCTCGGGCCCCCGCTGACAGCGCGTCAACATCACATTAAATGCTTGGAAGACGCCATCATTTCTTCATCCTCGGTACTATTTGACACCTCGGACCACGTTGGCTTCGTGTGCCACCTATCTCATCTCATTAATACCGAAGTGAGCGCTCATTCCGCGACCACTCCACAACTGACGCGCATAAAGTCGAAGCTGACTTAGCTGCCAGCTCAGACTCTGTAGGGGAAGACTAGAATTCCCATCCTGTATGATTATAAGAAGGATGATTGTTCCCAATGTGAAGATAAACAATTTTCTCATAATTTTTGTCCACCCTATTAAACTTGAGAACTCGCACGGTTCACCACTTCCCATTATTTGTTTAGCGGAGTCATCTGCTAAGCTTATGCTTCCTCCATGTGATTCCTGATAAGTTGAAAATCGTTTTTCGGTGAGGTAGGAAACCGAATTCTGTGGGTTGTAAACGTTGAAAACCGGTTGAGATAATGGAGTTCTCCTCGGGAATGGGGAGCGAAGACGTAAGGTCGGAAGGACCGAACTCCGTGATCACATTTTGTGTTTGATTGTCTTTTGTGCACTATCTCATTTGCATAGTTATTCATGTTTACATCACCCATGTTTTAATTACATATCTTTGCCTATAAGTTGTTGTATATCATACTTGTTAGGATATAATTGTTAACAAGTTTTAAATTGGCATTAAATCAGATTAGATTAGCATATTACCCTATTCACCCCTCTCTAGAATAATTTCACAAATCCCCTAAGGAATTACAAATTCTATAATTGTGACATTTGAACCAAACACCCCCTAAAAGGAAACAAATAGAAAGACTAAAACTTCACTACTCATAGATTTCCCAAAATACCATTGAATGCAAGAAGCATAGAGAACATATCAAAAGTGCAAACCAAGGAAGGTTTGATGAATAGAAATGTCAAATTTGGCTCACATTCCCCCTGAAATACCCTCGGATGTCAGCTCACAATAAAAGATAGAAACAACATATGACATTTTCTCTCAGCATTTTTCCAATTAGTAGGATGCTTCATAGAACAATAAATGACATTTAAATAAAGGGATATCCACGGTAATGAAGGAAATTTTTTATACTGTAGCTATGGGATCAGGTATGTGTACATGTCAGAGTATTGCACAACCATGAAACATATCCAAATGATACCAAATTGAACTATGAATATTGAGAATTCGAGATGGATGAGCAATTGTATAAGAACATAATTTCAGCAAGGATGACATGAGAAGAAACATAATTCTTGTAGGCGAGTTGATGAACAAATAAAGGTGAACAATACAGGATCATAACTGAATGATGCAGAGCCTAATGGGCAAGGAAAAACTCCAACTGAAGCTTAACACTATGAAAGGCTAGTTCGCTAAGTTCAGAATATTTCAGAATATCATCCTTAATACAGTTCAGAATATCATCCTTAATACAGAAAAATTCATATGAATGACACGAAAGAACTAAAATAGGACATTGTTCATGTTGGTTTTATTGCAGTACATTACATAATTTCATTAGAAGGAAGAAGAAACAACATACTTCCGCTAGTATAACAAATCATTTAAAGATAACATCATTATACAGTTTCGATATGAGCACTGGGGAGAGCCAGAAGGACCAAAGAGGAGGATAGAAATAGAATTTTGTTCCATGTAGATACTTGTCCTAGCGAACAAGCCAGTAATGAGCGTAAGAACTGTAAGTAACTACATAATTTGCTTCGAACTGCTTGCTGTTGCAACCATCTTTCAAGATGAAAGGCAACCATCTTTCAAGATGAAAATATCAAATTAGCTCAGGCATCAAATAATTAAATTCAAATTTTACATGTATTTTTTCTCTTTTTGCCATGTAGAATGCTAAATTTCCAACAAGAAGAAACACAACAACATTTTAAATCATTGTTAAACCAAGATTGTGATTGACCAATATTTCACTTAGCATACGCCATATCTTTTTACGCACGCTCTCTTACATTCTTGTCACATTTCGGAGAAGCACATTTACTCTGAAAACTTTTAATAGGAGTCTCATGCGTACATCATTTACAACCTAAACTGACTATTGACTAATAATCATGGCAAGGTTGGAAGCTCAACTTTATCGAAAGAAAAGAAACTAACACGTCCATGATCAACAAAGCAGAACTTCAAGGGGATACCATTGCACTTTCGCTGGAGCTTTTCTACTTCTACTCTTGAGGGTGGGCTATCCCTGCATGTGTAACTCCAAACAAATCAGCTAACACGTCAACTACAGAACCAAAATTTCAGGAAATTAGGTAATTGTTCACTCATGCTTCTAGGAGACAACATGAAATTTGAAACCATTAAATTCACCTTTCATACCTCAAAATAGAGAGCACGAAAATAGGTTCACCAGGAGAAGATTTTCTGAAATTGCTGTTAGGCAACATACCTCAAAATAGAGAGCACGAAAATAGGTTCACCAGGAGAAGATTTTCTGAAATTGCTGTTAGGCAAATACACATCAAATGCTAGCTTCATTTCCACAATCTGGATATTAGTGAATCTCGTAAATATTTCTTCTTTCACTACTTGATTAAATCTTCCATTTGAGTCCAATACGTCCTCCAAAGAATTTGAACTGCAGCAACTCTTCATAGTCCAAGAGATACCATGGCGACCAACAATATAACCAAGAGACTTTAAGTGTCTATAAGCCTCAAAGGCCTCCCAAGAACACCCAGCCTTTCCACTTGCAATCTTCTTGTAAATATCATTTATATTAAGAGATGTTTCATTGCCATCGGAGAGTAGTAGTGCCCCTCTTTCAGCAAGAAACCTACAACAAATATAATAAGTTGATTTACTAAAAATTAAGCAAGTGATGTGAAAATGCACTCAAAACTGGAACTTGGAAATTGGAATTATTGGAACTTGGGTTATTGTATACACCATCATATTGATGAATACAACTCTATTAAAACAAGAACATTCTAAGGATGAAAAAGACAAAAGATTCAACTTCTCACACTGTCACATCCTGAGCCCATAAGCCCATTGGCGCAAAGCAAGCAGTGAGACATACTGTAGTGTGTTGTTTGGCCCCAACCACAACCAAAATAGACTAACTGATGCTACACTTGTTGAGTCTTTGGCTTTACCATATAAACAACTCAATCTCTTACTTTCCCACCAATGTGGGACTAAACTCTTGGGAATCACATATGCTAATATCAATCAGAATATGCTAATTGTGTCTGATTGTCAAAAAGAAAAAAAAAACGCATAAAAACAGAGCTAAATGGTGTTATAATATAGCAAGTCAAGGTAGACTTTTATCACCCTAAATTTTTTCATAAACGTTGTATGAATCAACTACGGCATAAGACCTGCTGAATTTGTAAAGCTACATCTCTACCACAAGCTTTCATACCACCTCAAAAATTAACAACTCCTATGTGTTTAATAAAACCTTCCACCCAAAGCAGGTTCTATTGGCTAACAGTGTATAACAACATTAATATCCTTACGGCAAATGAAAAAGCCATTTACAGGATAGAATAAATTTTATACAAATAAATGAATCCGATATGAAAGGTGGAACAAGTAACAGATATGAGGTTTGAACCTAGATCTCCTAACATCTTAAAATATCATAAGCCAATGTCGTTGACATGCTAATAAGATAAAAACATATTACTAAAAATAGGAATGACATATTTGCGACTTTATGCAATATAATATGGAAAAAGAATTATGATTCAGATTGACTATTAAACTTTTTATTAAGTTGATAAAAGTTTAATAACCATTTGACAAAAACATATATCTAGCGAAAAGTGAAAAAAAAACAAATATAAATATAGTCATGAAGGAGTTAGCTATGTTTGAAGTGCAACAGGGAAAGGAACCACAGGCTACATATAGAAGGTAGTTTTTTTTAATTATGGGAGGGTGCATACTGACGGGTATAAGAACACAGCCTAGGAAGCAAAGATAAGTTAAAATGAGAAATGAAAAAAATAGTTTGCTTAAGTGGAAGACTATAAAGAACTTATAAATACTGTGAAAGCACAAATGTAAATTCCTTTGAAATCATGAAGCTTTTGTGAAGTGTATAACATAGGTGTGACTCACAATCCTGTGGTTCCCAGCCTCATCCAAGCCTTCCATCTCTTATAAATAAGTTGAAAACAAAAGAAAAGATACCAGAACTAATATTACCTGAATTCACTCAAGAATCAAGATTCATAAGTCAAGAAAACCGAGTTCTCAAGGAATTGCATTAAGAAAATAGCCAATATAACGGGTTGATATTCGTCAAAACGTTGCTAATTCAAAAAAAATTAAAATTCACAAATTGAAATCTAAATGCAAGAAAAAGCTACTATGATAGAAAATTCGATGTCACAAACTGAGAATAAGTCAGCAAAGACATAATGTGTCTAATTCTATTAATACAAAAATATTAACGAGAAACAACAATAATAATAATACTTCAAACATACAAGATCTCTTCAATGTGGCAATAAAGCTTGCCATTTCTTGTGATCCCGGTAGTCGTCCACAAGCTTCCCTTCTTCTCGAGAATCTCTCCCATCCCCATAACCTCGTCCCATCGAGCTACCGAGACCTCCTTCCTTCAAAAAAATTCAATAAAAAAGAAATGTAGAATACTTTATGGAGGAATTTAATCAAACAGGTTGTGGGCTTTACCTGAATTGGAGTTTGGATGAAGAGGGCTTGGTGGTGATGGAGGATAGAAATGGGTTTTTGTGGTGCTCTTCGCCCTCTTCTTCTTGGACTCCTCGGCCGTCGCTTCTTGTTGATGCTGCCATGACCAGTGAGAATAGGTGAAATCGGTGGGGGAGTGCAGCTGGGTTGCAGTAGTCTTATAAACGTCTTGAGATTGAAATTTTCAAATGATGAACTAAAACAGTTATCAAGAGCTAATTAGAAAGAAATTTAAAAAAAGGTACAATGTGTAATCTCTTCTCTCAACATTCAGTGTGAAGTATACCCACCAAATGCGCAAGTTATATACCATGCAGTCTCAGCACAAGAGGCGATGGCAGATACTAATCGGAGAGTATTTAATTATTCAAATTATAATTATCTATTCTTGTTAATGGCTAAGATCACACAGTCAATCGTATCCAGAAGAGGACATGTTCGGCTCAGACCGTCACCGGAGTGAGGTAGAGGAGATTGATTAATGAGGACGACTCATTCCCTGACTTTATGTCTGGTTCTTGAATTGAGGTAATTAAGCATATATGAATCAAACCACCAAATAAAAGAAAATTGAGCACAAAGCATCAAACTGAGCACAAAACATCAAACATATATATATATATCACCATCAAAGAATGTGAGGAAACCTGAGCAATTATGCATGAAAGCACCAAACTGAGCATATACAACCATAAAATAATGTGAATAAATATGAGCATTTAAGCAAGAAAGCACCAAACATCGAACTTAGCGCTAAGCACAAAGAACTCAATAATCAAATCACAGACCACCATCAAAGAATGTGCTTAAACTGAGCATGTAAGCATGAATCCAAACTTGTTATCCAAATGCATATCAAAACGTTAATAAACGGTGTCTTTAAGAGGTAATAAGATCTCATTATTCCAAAAAGTAATAATTAAAATATTCTAGCATGTTCAAACTTTCATTAATTTTAACCAATTTTCATAAATTATGCCGCTGAAATTTTAACATGCTAACACTTTCATAATTTTTAATCAACAGCATGTTCAACATCATGCATATATTTACGACATGCATCTGCAATCTAAAATTTATAAACTACATGCATTTCATACCATAGCATGCATCTAAACAATATCATGCATTGACTACTAAAAGAATTAACAAGTCTGATATGATGAAAATAAAATTTAGGTATACATCATAACATCATTCGGCCACATATCCATACATCTAAACAAACATGCATGAAGTTCTATTAATTTCTAAGAATTAAATCTAACAAAAGATACAAATGAATACCGTAAGTTCTGCGCAAGTAGCAATTAACATATAACCCTAACAGATAGGTCTTTACGGTACATAGAAATGGCATCATTTATAAAAAAAATTATTTTTTTAAGAAGCTGATTTTTAATACGTCATAAAAACAAGGCTTCAAGATTTATACCTTGTTTTGCAGAGGGAAAGATATGAAGAAGCATATCTCAGAGAGGCAGATGAAGGAGCTCAAAACGCCACCAACTATCAAGAAATGAAATCCCTTCTAAAATAAACCCAATAAGTTCAATTTCAACTCCCAATCTTTATCAACTTAAGATCTAAGTTTGATTCTTCATGTTTGGACCACAAATTCAAGGAATCTAGTCGAAAAGGGGCATTTGAGATTAGGACTTTCAAGCTACTGGAGATAGAAGATGTTAGAGCTGCGATGCAAGCCTTGGGGGGAGGGTTTAATAATTAATAGGCTTGCTATAGTTGCACAGAATAACCAGCAGAAATATAGAAAAATCGAGAGCAAAAAACTGAACTAAAAACCAATCAAGTAACGTGCAAGATTTTTATAATAGTTTGGGTAACAATTCTACGTCTGCTCTTCCTTTTCACGAAGGGGCTTCCTCACTATGACAAGAGTTCTCTTGAATCACAACCCAATTCAATAGGTTTATAAAGACCGCACCTAGAATCTATCCGAAATCAATCATCTAACCTAACTCTCCATAGTAAGTAACACCTAGTCCTAGCTAGTCTCAAACCTCAATTATCATCGGCTTAATCCTAACCCTCAATTATCACGGCTTGAGTACATCGTAAAAACAAGTTTGAAACAAATTTATTGGTCACTGTACACCATCGATGAGGTGTCATGATCATTGATGGTTTACTATAGACCATCAATGGTTTACTATAGGCCATCGATAGTTCGAAATTGATTCTCTGGATTTCTGTGACTATTCACTATCGATGAACCTTGACCATAAATGGCTACTATAGACTATCAATGGTTCCAAGGCTAAAATAAATGTAAACGCTGATTTTTTTTGCATTGTTTCACTTGTAGCCTTCAGATACCTATTTTCACCTATACTATATCACGCCAAACAAATTTTAATACCAAATGAGAGTTTGTTATTACTCAAACAAGAGCTATTGAATGGACTACGTCCTAACAGAAGAGACGCGAACCAAAGAGGGACGAGATGGAAGATGCGCAAACAACAGAGGGAAGACGCGCCGAAAAAATCAGAAAGAATTCTATTTAATGGGGGAGGGAGGTTTGTAGGGTTTCCTTGAGCGGAAAAAATCAGAAAGAAGAAAAACGAGTGAGCAAGGGTTTTTTCTTTAATGGGGTCAAAATCAGAGGTGTCAACATTTTACATATTTCTCCAAAAACTAGAGAAAATAGGTTTCTACAAAACACCCACTTTTTCTACTTTTGAAACTTTTATATATCAAAAAATAGAACCACACAGGTTTTAGGAAAGCTATAGAAAAATTCTATTTATAAAAATGCCACTGTTAGAGAGCTTTCCTTTTCTTTTCTATAAAATTGGAGAACCAAATAGTCACTTAGCTACAAAATCACTTTTATCCTAAAAGGCACTAATATGAAGATCACTTTTGTGAATAGTAAAAACCTTACGTATTTATATCTTAATCTTTGAAATTAGAATAGATAATTATAATTTGAATAGTAAAAACCTTACGTATTTATATCTTAATCTTTGAAATTAGAATAGATAATTATAATTTGAATAATTAAATACTCTCCGATTACTATGTAATTGGAGAGGATCCAAATCCATTTTAAAAAAAGAAAAGGGAGTTCGGCGAATAAGCGTATGGATTTCGTTATTAAAGTAAAACAATTTTTTTAAAGACTCCGGGGAGAAGATTAAAACTTGGAATAGGATTAAAATTGTTTTTTAAAGTAAAATATTTTTTTAAAGTAAAATATTTTTTTTAAAGACT